TAAATACTTAATTTTGATCCAATATAGTTCAAATTACGATGAAATCACCATTAGATACACTAATCACATAATTAATATAGTTAATTACCTACTAATTACTTCTTTTTCAATATTATAAACATGTCAAACACCCTAATAGGTATTAAAGACATTGAGTTGATATAAAATCGATCAAATTTCGATTAAATCATTATTAAAATGACTAATCACAGCATTCGATAACTTTAATAAAACCTAATTAAACTTATTTTACTATTATAAATATCTTTCAATATTTAATATACATGAAATATAAATATTTGATCTATTAAGTGTTTAATTTTGAATTAATCAATATTAAACACACTAATCATAATATCAAATATCTTAATTACTCTCTAATTAAAGAAAGAGAATACATACCTCTTGATTTGAAAGTTCTTCCTCTTAATCTTCCTAAATGAGTCTCGATTAAATTCATAAATCGTTATTTCCTAGAGTTTAGTAGAGCATAAATATGAGAAAAAAAAAGTTTGAGATAGTTTAAGAGAGTATGAAGTGAAATAAGGGAGAAGATGAATTTAAAAACCTATGAGAAAGGGCTCCAACGGTCAATTTAACCATTGGAACATTGTTACCGATTGGTAACGGTCGAATACCGAGCGATAACGATCGATTTCAACTGTTACCGAGCGATAACGGTCGAAATCGATCGTTACCAAGCGATAACGGTCGAAATCGACCATTACCGAGCTGTGCTAGGTGGTAACGATCGAAATTTCGACCGTTACAACCCTATATAACCCCGTATCATCCGATACGGGGCGATGTTAAGTGTTCCGTCCAGTAGCAGACGGTCCGCGTACCAGTATGCTAACGGACCGATACGTACCGCCCGGTATTATTCAAAACTGTAAACCTTGATTTCATCATTGTCTTGGAAAATAATGAAATCAGAGTATATAACTTGTAGATACAACCTTTTTTTTTCTTATATCTTTTAAATTGTAGGGTTTTGAACCTCAACCATATACACAGTAAACTGGCAAAATTACAAAATGTAGATGTATGATCTTTAGCAATCAAGAATGCACAAATGTTTTCTTGTATCATTCTAACTCTAGTTTTACTTCGTGTATAAGATATATTGGAAAATAAAAATAAGAACTACTCTGACTCCATGCCAAAGAGACTAAAACTTTCTTTTGCATCTATTTGTTATACAATTTCTATTCGAGATACCATGTTCTTTTTAAGGACCTTTGGAACTTTGTGCTGTTATTTGAACAAACTTTGTGTTGCTTGCCAAGTTGCATACCACATTTTCAAGCCTGTTAGGGTATTCCAGAAGCCTTGTTACCCAAAGGCACCAGTCATACGGTTGCTTATGGTTTTTGAGAAATCTAATGTTTGCTTTGGGTTTTACATACAGATGATATTTCCATGGATGTTTGATGAGATTCATGCTTTAGGACCTTTCACAGAAGCTGCTCATTTGTTGGCTGAGAAGGAAGATTGGCCACCATTGTATGACATTAGTAGATTAAACAACAACAAGGTTTGAAACTCGACAAGTTGTGTCGAAGATTTTGTTGTTCCTTGTATTTTATTTTGTTGGAGCACTTCTTTTATTTTTTCTGGATATTGAGATCATTGCATGTGATACTAACTTGCAGGGTAGAGGGATACATGTAATGAACTAAAGCAGTACATCTATTGGCTCTTGACGGTCATAGGCACATGCATGAACCCATGTAAACAAACATGCACATGCACATGCACATGCTTTTGACCACACAATTTTGCATTTTGAATCTTTTCCTAGCAGCATTTGTCCTGATTTCAATAGTGATAATGTTATCAGTAAATGTTTGCACCTGGATCATGCAAAATTACGCCTCATGCAGGTTCCTGTTGCTGCTGCTGTTTATTATGAAGACATGTATGTCAACTTCAAACTTGCAATGGAAACAGCTTCTGAGATTGCTGGGATCAGGCTGTGGGTGACAAATGAATATATGCACTCCGGACTTCGTGATAATGGTTATCAAGTTTTTGAGCAGTTGATTGGTATGCTGCAAGGCAAGAAACCTTGGTTTTGATTTCAGAATGGAGCAATGATGGATGATGTGACTCCTTCGACTAGTAATTTGCATATATTTATCAGATGCAGTTCATCTTATGATAGTCACAAATGGTATTATTTTATGCATTAACTTCATCTTCATCTGGATACTGTACTAGTTATTTATCTTGTGCTTTTACCATTGGTTGTCCAAGTCTTGGAGTTACCAAGTCCTGGCAGTAATGCTTCACACACATCAACCATGAAATTTAGCATATTGTCACTGAGTTCTACAAGGGCCTTTTCTAGATCCATTAAAATTTTCAATGTCATGCTCCTATTTGATTAAAAGCATTATTACAACACTAGTGGATAAATTTATCAAGGTTCTCTGCTTTGCAGACCTTCCCTACCTGATTTATTATGCAATAAAATAAAATTGAACCCCTGAAGCTGTTTTGAAATCTCATACTCTGTTCTTTGTTGGTCTTGATCCATTACTTAACAATCTCATCTACTATTCGCATTAGTAGTTATCCTTGTCTTATTTTATATTCACATATGTAACATAAGCAGTGCTGTATGCTGATCAACCATGATTATGCATGTATAAGTGGTCTGACATTCTCTTTAGCTAATATCTTCTGCAAATGAAAGGTTGAAGCACCTTTGCAGATATTCTAATTCATGTGCTAATTTGTACTTGTGGTTTTCTTTCTTGATCTTTCGTTACTTTGGGTTGAAACATGATACTATTACTTTTTGTTTCTCAACTGAACTTTGACTGTTTCAAAATTGTATAGATTGTAACAAGAAGGTTGTGTTATTCAGATGGTTGAATTGTAGTTTTATAATCTTGCACTTACATTTACATCTTTAACCATTGAGCAATTCTGTGGCAAAGAACTTTTTTCCTGTCAACTTTATTGTTTCTGCAGAAGCAAATTAACATATAAAATTAATTCTCTGTTAGCTACCATTTTTCTCTTCTATGAAGTGATATATCTATATATGTAGAATTGTAAAGACCAGCTTTGACCGTCAAAGTTGCATTATTCACATGGATCACATGTAAGTTGCAATTCATTTTGGAGCTCCATTTCAAATCAGAAGAGGTCAGTCCCAGTCTAGAATGCACGAGGATCAAGTTTGAGACACTGTAACCACAAAAGTTCAAGAGCAGCTTCTTAGGCCTCAGAGTTAAAAGAAGTTGGCATGCATATTAAGGTGATTGAGGTTTGTTGGCCGCATTGTTTTTTTCTTTGGTTATTGATAACAGTAATTCCTTATAGGAAGATTACATATATCAACGGAAATAGTATCACGTGGCATGGTGCTCTCTTCAAATCGGAATGTAGTTTTTGAAAAGGGTGGAGAGAAAGTGCATCGGATGGTTTGCATATGAAGAAATAGAGAGTATTGATCTGTCGTGGTGGCAACGAGCAGCCGAAGCTATAGGTATTATTACTGTATAACAATTTCTGAATGGCTTGATTTATTGCTTTGGCTGTGTTTTTTTTTTTTCTTTTTAGTTTTCCTAATGCAATTTTTGTTATATATGTGAGTTGATCTCTTAACTAGGTTTTTCATTGGATTTAATTGAGATTTTATATGTTTTGTTTCTCAACATGGTAACTATATCTCCAGTGAGAGAACCATTGTAGGTTAAATTAGCAAATCAGATGGATTCTGGAACGCACTTTTTATGGTTTAAATGCACTATCATTTAGTGGTTGTACAGCTTTTGAGTCTGCAAGAGACGCAGTTCACAAGAGCCAAATAACAGTGAAGGTGGGAAGCCAATTTCATCCATATTCAAATGGAATTTGCACGGTTGTGTCTGTTACATTACAGGCTTTGGCTTCGAGAGGTGGCGCCGCCTCTCCTCCTCATCTGCTGCTGCTTCTCCTCTCCCTTCACCGACAGTTCTTTATCAGCTTTCCAGTCCACCCCTCCTATTCCTGCTCACTCGACTCCTCTGTGTGGGTTAATATGAACCTGACCGACACTCAACCAGCCTGAGGATTGGTTTGGTTCAGTAACCAGTACAATAAAATGTTCTTTCTTTTAACTAGGATTCGCTGTTCGTTGCTTATAATTGTTCGTGCTCTTTTTGCAACCTCCAGCATGCCTTCTCATCGTTTCCTTTTTCTTTTCTTCATCTCTTCCTTGTTACCCTTAATTCTTCTTCCTCTTCACCCTTGTTTCTCTAATATTTCATTCTTCCTTTTCGTCTTTCTCCCTCTTCTTCTCCTAAAGGTACCAATGGCTTCTTCCCCGAATGTTATCTTGGATGTTTTGGCATACCAAAGCGATAGAGTATGATAATTGAAACTATAATCTTTGATCCTAATAACTTTGAGGATTAGTTTCTTATTGGTATGATTAATTTTAGTTGTTCAACCTGTCGAGGACTCGAAACCAACCTAAGTTCAGTGTCCGAACTTATCTCAAGCTTTGGAATCGAGAAGTGGTCGAGTTCAACTAAAGTTTGGAGAATTGAGAATAATGTTTCAGTAATCTACCTGGAGCCTTTTATATTGGTTTCAGTAATTGATTGGAGTAACCGGTTATTATTTTTGGGACAATTATGTGAAATCTTCATACAGATGTAAAAAGTTGACTTTACCTCGGGCTTTATGATCAATGTTATTATGCATCGTCTTAATCTGATGATGTGTTGTGCTGATAATATATGCTGACAAAGCATCCAAGTTTGTTGTCGGCTTCATGATGATGTCGCATACAAACGTCTATGTATCGAACTCCCACCATCATTTGCCCGTTTTGGTGCAAAGAATGTCAAGACAAAATGCGCTTTCTAGATGGATAATTCAATCACATCGCACGTTTAGAATTCAACATCTTTACGAGATAATTTGTATTTCATGATCAAACTTGGTTACATCTGTTGCGGGGGGCAACTGTTTAAGCCGTGGCCTCGGGGCTGTCGCGGCTTAGTTCGGGTCCGGAAGGCGGGGATCTCCGTGGGGGCGCTCCTCGAGCCCGCTGAATCTCCGAAGGCGGGGATCTCCGAAGGCTTCGCACCTGCACAAAGGTCGGGTCGGGGTGCTCGACCCGACCCCTCCGACGATCAAGTCAGCGAAAGATGTGGAGGGGGTTTCGAGAGAAGTAGTGTTGTGTGTGAGTCCCCCCCTCTTCTAATGAACGAGAGGATATTTGTAGGGGAGCATTATGCTCCCTGAGTTGCCCGCTTGCAGGGGGCAGGCTGAC